GCAAAATTATTTCCAATTTACCTGGTAAGCATAAATGCAAAAAGTTCTGAGAAATAAAAATTTCACTTAATCAACAAAAGTATCAATGCTGGGTATGGTAGCACATGCACGTAATCCCAGCACTCAGGCAGCTGAGGTAGGAGGATCAATTCAAATTCAAGGCCAGCCTGGGCTTCACAGTGAGTTCAGGGCCAGCCTAAACTACAAGTCAAGATCCTGTCTCAAACAAAAGAAAAGGATCAATGGCAAAGGAAGCTAGAACATTTATACCAGCCATTTCAGATAGTGCTATATAAATTCAAAAACAAAATAAAAATTACCAACAATCCCCATAAAATTTTCCTCCGTTACAGTGTCCTTAGGTCCTTTATTCTTTCTTATTGCATGTATATATGAACTGTTTCTTGTTTTTGTTTTTTACTACATTGCAATAGGCCATCCCCTTCTGTTACTACATGCCTTTTTTCCAGAAAAGTCTCAAAACCACTAAGTAAGTAGTGGTTACCTTTCAAATGACACCCAGAAACAGCTCTTAGGGGTTGGGTTGTTACTGGGGACACCTAGCAGGTCCTCAGAGTGACACTGCTGTGTGAACTTCATGCCACACCCATCTGCTCCGTACAATTTTTACGTTCTGTGTAACTCATCCTAATTGAAGTACACCTGCTCTAACCAACAAACGGTGACACAGATATAACACAACACCGTCTTAAGAAATACTGGAAAAGGGGCTGGCGAGATGGTTCAGTGGTCTAAAGCACCTATTTGGAACAAGCTCAGCAAAGCACAGGGACCGTGGTTCAATCCCCCAGCACCACATGCCAGCCAGCCCCGCCCCCTGGTGGGCTGAGCTGGCCACACACACACACAAATAAATTTAAAAATAAAAAAAAGAAATACTGGAAAAATCACGAATAAACCATTGAACCAGTGAAAAATACTCCCATTGGAGAAACAGCCTAGGGGTGCTAGGAGGCTAGGCAAGGAACCACTGCTTTTGTTGTTCCTGTAATATTCGGTATTTTGTAAAATAACTGCCCACATATAATAAAATACTACAGTCAAGCAGAACACATTTATTCTTCTCCCCTAAAAATTGACTACTGGCGTTTTTTAAGAAAAAAGGTTTGGGGGCTGGGGAGATGGCTCAGTAGAATATGCGCTTGTGTGGCAAGCACAAGGTCCTGAGTTCAATCCCTGGTTGCACAAAAAAAAAAAAAAAAAAAAAAAAAAAAAGGTTTTCAGGGGGCTGGGGAGATAGCTCGTGTAATAAGTGTTTGCCTGGCAAGTGCAAGGTGCTGAGTTTGATCCCTGGTACCACCAAAAAAAAAAAAGTTTTCTACTTAAATGATTTTGGGAATGTAAGTTACTGCCGACAAAAAAAAGAAGAAAGGGGCTGGCGAGATGGCTCAGTGGTCTAAAGCACCTACTTGGAACAGGCTTGGCAGAGCACAGGGACCGCGGTTCAATCCCCCAGCACCACATGCCAGCCAGCCGCGCCCCCTGGTGGGCTGAGCTGGCCACACACACACACACACTAAATAAATAAATACCTTTAAAAAAAAAAAAAAAGAAGAAGAAAGAAAAGCTCACAGTAGATAAAATTTTCTCCATGATAAATTATTACAAGATTTTAAGCAGCAGAGACAGAAAACGAAAGCTTCAATTTCTTTCAATGGCTCTTTTAAAGATTTTAAATACAAAGGGGAAAGGAAAAGAGGACGGAAAAAAGAACCAAGTTGGGCTAGGTATGTGGGCCCATTCCCCAAGACAAGTGCAGTCACTAGGCACTGAAAGTACGTACTAACTTAAAAACTTTAAAAAATATTTTATCTGTACTAAAGATTACTGAGACTAGTGAGTCTACAACATCCCTAAAAGTATTGTACTGTGCAATGTTCCCCGACGCTTTCTATTCGAACCCCTGGGGAGTTAAAAAAAAAAAAAAGTGTCATTAATAGACTTTGTATTTTTAACACTTTAAAATTCTAATCTACAATTCTGACTTTCTAACCCAACAAAAAGCCTGAAATGCCAAGAAAATCTGACCCGACACAGAAACCTGTACCACCGACCCCTGAGACGAAACTGAAAAGGGGGCACAAAAGTCTTAGTGAAAAATACCCAAGTAATAAAGCGCCTCGGGCACTCCTCCGGGAAATACAGTCGGGGTAACCACCGCCCACGAAATCGCTCCCGGGCGCCGCGAGCGCCGCCGCCCCAGCCAGCGAGCGTCCTCCACCGCCCGCCCCGCCGCCGCCCAGCCCTCCGCGGCCCCGCGCTCGCCTCACGCCTTCTGAGCGACTAGGAAAGGCCCTACCGGGCCGCCGTCCTTCCCGCAGGCTCCCAGCCGCGCCGTGCCCACCGCGCTCGGCGCCCCCGCCCTACACCGCTCCCTCCGCCGCGGGGCCTCCCGCTCTGCCCCCGCGGGTCCGGGGCGCGAGGAGACACGCCGCAGCCTGCCCGCTGCCCTCCTTGCCCCGCAGCCTACACGCCAACCCCTAGGATACCCTTCTCCCCGGTACCTGTCGCCGCAGGCAAGGCGCAGCCTGCCCACGCCCGCCTTCGCTGCCGCAGCCTCGCGCAGAGCAGCGGCGCCTGGGTGCGTGAGGCAGAGTCCTTCCGGGGTCAGCCTTGGTACAGCGAAGGGAAAGTGCAGGGGCCACCTTAGCCTTTCTGCGTGAGGGGCTGCGTGCGAAGCAGCTTCCGCCATCTTTGTTTAGGGTACAGAGGCGCGGGCTGGAATTGTATTCTTTCGCAAACGTGTCAGGAGCTAGTAACAAAGTTGGTAACTTCTAGCTGTGGACCATTCTGGGGGTCTGGTGGAAACTATGGAGTCTTCTCCCAGAAAAAATGCACATAGACACTTATACATTCCTCAAGCAAGCAAGCTCACACACACACACACACACACACACACACACACACACAAATTTAAAACCCCAGAAGCCAATCGTGGTTCTCAAATTTAAGAACTTTGGGGCTAGTAATGTAGCTCAGGGATAAAGTGTGTGGTCATTCACCATGAACCAATCCCCAGGACAAAAGCAAAACAATAAAAAAAAGAAAACAAATTCTACCATAGATTCTCAGCACTCCAAAGAATGGAGTGATAAGGCTCATATATCCCTGTACAACTATCCATTTATTATTCATTTCTTTAGCTGTTCTTTGTTTCCCACTGAATTAGGCAATCAAAGAATAGTAACTGTGGTCAGTTAGAGGAGGTAGATGGGCAGTTACTGCGCTCAGGTTCTGTGTAATACATAGTGAACTAATGGGGGTAGAAAGGAAAATAATAAACCTTCAAGGTCCTGCTTGTGTGTGCAGTCCTGAACCAAAGGACTCCATCAGAACCACAGATGTAAGAACCACAGTGGCTGAGCATATTAGGGGGAAAGTCAAAATAATTTTGTTAAGATAACAACATGAAAACGTTACTGTTCCTGTGCAAGGAACAGGAATGAACAGTTCTGTTTTCAAAATTCCCATTTATCAGGTCAATAATTTCTGACATTGCCAGTTAAACAGAAGACCCAATGCTATTATGGGCTACTGGACTCTTTTAGAATATTTTGCTGAGTTTACACAC